AGATCTGAGAGAACCATCGATCAGTTGCATCCATACACATACCCTAACTAGGGACTGAACCCATAACCTGGGCATGTGCCCTGACCAGGAATCGAGCCCACAGCCTTTTGGTGCATAGACGATGCTTCAACCAATTGAGCCACCTGTCAAGCCCCAAAAGTCTATTTTAGAGAATCTGCTAGTATACTACTTTCTCCTCACCCTCAAAACAAGGAAATTGTCCATGGAAGGAACTCATCTGCTTTGACATGGAATTGCTGTTTCACGATAGCTTCTACAGCTATAATTTAATATTAAGATCTAGACTCATGCATGTGACAAAATGGACTACTCCTTATTTCTGAGTTCCTTCCAATCAGGGAACACTCTCCTCTAGTACTTTCCTGTCTAGAAAAATAAAATCTGAAATCGAAATGAAAAGTTAACATAGCAAACAATTAATTGTCAACATTGCAAATTGAGCTCATTGTTCCAGCTCTGTGAGCTGTTTCTCTAATGATAATAACATAAGGAGAAGGCTAGGAATTGGGGTTTCACACAAACCATATGTTATCATTGAAAATCAAATACATGGATCTGTGACAAACTCAAAATACACTTTAGAGAAAACTTCCAGTTATTTTTGCTAATGGATGAAACCAGGGGCATAGCTACTCTAAAAACATAATTTTGAGCAGTCAGAGACACACACTCTCTCTGTCTCAGTCTCTGTTTCTCACACAGGCTCATACACACATTGTTATTATTTCTCGGTAGTACAGTGCTTCATATATAACAGACAATTTCTGTTGACTGACTAACCAGCCCCTTCTTAACTAGAGAGTAAAAGAAGTGGGTGAGAAGGTGAGTGGATTATTTATTTACAGAAAATCAAGAGTTAGTTGCCTATGGATTCTCCAAAGTCCATCATTTTTTAAAGTAATCACTTCCCACAGTGGTCTCTCACTCAGGGACCTTCCAGCACATTTGGTCATTGCTGCAGATGAGAGAGAGGCTCCTCTAGGCAGCTGCTCTGTCCCACCCAGCTCAGGGTTCTCTTTCCTCTGCCCAGTCCTGGGACAGGAATCAGAGCTATTGAAGAGAATAGGTGGCCAAGGTGAAAGGGAGACGTGGGTCTTGGGATTTCTTTCCAGGAAATGTAGGAGACACTTTTAGCAAGGAGAGCAAGTAATGGGATTTAGGTTTAAATAAATGTAGATGAGCTTCCCCATTTCCACACTACATCAGTAAATGCCCCTTTCATGAAGCTGGGCAGTGAAAGAACTAAAGGAGGTTCTCAGAGGCACAGAATGAATTACCAGCCTCGTATGAGGTTGAAGAGAGGGGCCCTCATGTGCTCAAAGCCAGGGGACAAGTGGGAAGTGGCTGTCCTGGACTCTGTTTGCAGGGTGAAGTTATTGGGCAGTTAAACTCAGTATTCAGCTATCTGACTCCTGGGGAGGAATTTTGATATCCATCAGTTTCTAGCACCTTGTGGCTATTGGTCAAGACTGGCTGTGACCCCAGACCTCTGTCTTTCAGTTGGTTCATTTCAGGGGAGGTTGCCCTCCCTGTGGAATGTATGGGATACCTGATTCCAAGCTACTCACTACAGGGCTGCAGTGAGGAGATGGCTTATAGGCATCTGAAGGCAGCAGAAAATTGAACTTGCACATCTGAGCACAGATGTATGTTGGACATTAAGAGAGAAAATTGTTCAGCAATTTCTCACATCTTTAATTATATGTCAATTTCATTGACATGAAAGTTGGGTGGCACTGCCACCCAACAGAACTTAGTCTTTAATTTGCAGTGTAATAAGGATGGAATTATTCCTGAAAGTGACTAAGTATAATGCCTGAATAATAATTTGGAGAATTTCCTAGAAAAGGAATCCATTTTATATGAGGGAAATGGCCTTGCAAAGGAAGGAGCCTTGAAAATCAGAAAACATGACACTGGCAGAAAGCTATGACACTGGCAGCCTTACATTTATTATTTAGCCTAAACTTAGTTCCGTGTTTCTTAAATTTTTTTTTTTTTTTTTTTTTTACCTCCAAACAAAATGCAACCCCTTTGCTAATGCCCAGACAGTCACCATGTGGCTTTGCCATCATTCGCGTTCTGCAGGCCTGGATGTGCCGCCCGCGGAGCAAGAGAGCAGTGCCCAGCTGGGACCCTGCTGCAGGGCGGGAGTGTCATTAAAGAGGCCGGGTCGGGAGCCCGTGCCGAGGACGGCGCATGCTCAGGCGGGGGGCACTCATTCCCAGCAGCCATGGATCTGACCTTCTTTCACGGCTGCTTCTTTCCAGATACCCCACTCAGCCCTGTCGCTTCGGAAAGCTCCTGTTGCTCCTGCCAGCTTTACGTTCTATCAGCCCGTCAACCATAGAAGAAGTGTTTTTCAAAAAAACCATCGGCAATGTGCCAATCACAAGGCTGCTTTCGGATATGTACAAATCCAGTGATATCTAAGTTCTCCGCGTCCCCACTGGTCAGCATGGGACAGAACCTGATGAACTTCTACCCACCGCGCACGAGCCTCAGCCAACACACCCTTCGGAAGCATCCCTCCGGGGGCGGGAGCCTTCTGGAGAAACCGTCCGCGATCGCAGCGCTGCAGCGGCGCTGACCTGCTGCCTCACCCAGGGCCGGGCAGCCGGGAGGAGGGGGACGGGCAGGACCCCCGGCGGGGGACGCGCTGCTGCGGCGCCCTGGGAGGGGCAGGTTGGGGGCTGCCACAGGCCGCGCGCTCGGCCCGTCACGGGACCGTCGGGAGGGTCAGCGCTGGAGCGTAAGTAGACTCCCTTC